TGGCCCAAGTGCTTGGGCCCTGCACCCCATGAGAGACCAGGAGAAGTACCTGGCTTCTGCCATCGGATCAGCGCGGTGCACCAGCCGCAGCGCGCCGGCCACGGCGGCCATTGGAGGGTGAACCAATGGCAAAAAGGAAGACCTTTCTGTCTCTCTCTCTCACTGTCCACTCCGCCTGTCAAAAATAAAAAAAAATAATAAAAAAAAAGATTTTATTTGAGAGGTAGAGTGAGACAAAGAGAAAAAGATCTTCCATCCATTGGTTCACTCCCCAAATGGTGGCAATGGCCAGAGCTGGGCCAATCCAAAGCCAGGAGCCAGGAGCTTCTTCCTGTCTACCATGTGGGTGCAGGGGCCCAAGGATTTGGGCCATCTCCTACTTCTTTCCCAGGCCACAGAAGAGAGCTGGATGGGAAGCGGAGCAGCTGGGACTTGAACTGGTGCCCATATGGGATGCCAGTGCTGCAGGCGGAGATCAGCCCACTACACCACTGCACCAGCCCCACTGTTGATTTTTGTTGATTTCAGATATCCTGAGCACAGAAGCTTTCTCCTCCATACAGTTCCTACTGACATGCGTGGAAGGAATGCTACTGGAAGCAGTTTGGTTAAATACCAAACTGTAATCCTAGGGCTACAGATGCACTCCCTACTCCTGTATCCCAGCCCCAAGCTGAGTCTTTGGGGACAGGGGCAAAGCAAGAGTGAGAAATCAATTATTTAATATCAAGAACAACAGGGTTCTGAGTTACCCTTTAGACAGACCTCATTTCTCCTTTTGGCAAAAAACACACTGTGCAAACAGGTGGTGACTCACTAAAAGCAGGGGTTCTAAAGCCCCCGGGGCTTGGACATCTGAATCCGAGGAACGTAGAAGCAGATTCCAGGAAGAGACAGAACAGCTCCTAGAACTCGGATATTTCCCCATCGAGGCTTTTTATGGTTCCTAGCGAGCCAGAGATTACATAACAAGACTTAAGTCAGCGTGGGTCGGCTGAGAATAGGAGGCGCCAATGATTATGGAAATAAATGAAATTTTAAGAATACTAGGGAAGCACCTTGCGCCGATTCCTCTCTTGAAGGGCTCTGTGCCAGATTATAGGATGCTACGCAAAAAGCACTCATATGCCGTCGACGTCAGCAACCCAGTCGGCCAGGCCGGAAACCAGGGACTCATCCTGGGACCATGCGCCCTGGCCACCCTCTACGTGCTTCTCAGAGCTGCCCCTCTTCTCCGTTCTGGCCCTTGTGGCTCTGTGGTCTGCAGCCTCTCATTCCCTAACTAATGAGGTAGGCCAGGCTACCTGCTTCCTCTCGGTCACTCACAGCCCACCCTGTCCACATGCGACACCCCCAGGCTCCCTCCCTACCCACGAGGTCCCCTAAGACCACCTTCCTGGACAGCTCCATCACTGCTTGATGGAGAAAGCCACACTGACAAGGCTCGTGTGGCAGTCCTTAGGTCACACAGGTGGATCGGGAAACAGAACCGTGGTCATCTTGTGCCACATCGGGAGCCAGTAGGTAGAAATCTACTTCGCAACAGCAGGGATTCATGTCTGATCATTTAAAGTGCAGCCAGCGCTGAATTCCTTCACAACTGTGTGGTGCCGTGACCCTCGGCGGCACGGCTTTAACACTGGCCACCAGAAACACCTGATGCTCAAGAACAAGGGGGAATGACAGCAGCGACACAACCCCGGGGCTAAAACACAGTCCCCTCCACCCCCACATAAAGACTAAAGCATAGTCCACACATTCCCATTCCTAGGATACTCATTTACCTTCTGGGAAAACCACACTGCGCTCAATGCACTGACCGGTGTAGGTGACTACAAACGTCGCCTGTCAAAGTCCAGCGACTTCTGCCAATTCAGCTAGGGACTCTGCATCAACTGACAGCTACACAAAGAAAATTTCCACTCTGAAAACCAGAACCAGAAAAAACTAGTGCCAACATCTAATGGTCCATTTGGATCTACTGCAGATTATTAAAAAGAGTGAGAAAGTCACTAATGAGAATTTCCAGACACAAAATTACACCGGGCACTCAATTAGTACATTTGCCAGAATGAAATGGCCAGGCCAAACCACACACTCTGAGACCCAGGTGGTCAGGAAGACACTGCCGTGAGCATACAGTCAATAATTCCTCAGTTTTGACACATGAACATGTCTGAATTTATACAGTATCTTTTATCTAAGGAACTCCATCTTTTATAGCTTATTAGCTCATTAATTCCCTCCTAATATTGCCTTATTTTAATTTGTGTCTCCAAATTAACCACAAGAAAAAAAATCTAATGGCTAGACATTTCCATTTATTAGCTTTTCAATTTTAGATGATCTTCAACCCTCGTTGCCCTTAAGGAATCGCAAATTGCTCATGAGAGTAGAAACTAAACTAAATAGTTGAAAAGGACCCAGTTTTTATTTTGAGTAAGTAGAGGAAAATATACCTGAGAGAGACAGCAATATTGGGTTTATAAGCACACACTGCAATTTAACCGAAGACTTTCTTCTCTATTTCAATATATTACAAAAAAAAGAGAGAGAGAGAAAACCAGGAAATGGTAGTGCCCGATGCTGCCTGAGTGAATGGCGCACATATGGAAGTGCTGGGTTCTGAGACCCCAGGGGCAGCCACGATCAGACTGCGGCTCCCGGAGTGCTCGGTCCACAGCAGGCTCTTAGGAGGCGCACACGGACTGGAACGCGGGCTTGGACGCTCTGAGTAAACGATCTTAAGCACAGCTAAGGCGTGATGACAGATGACATTGTCTCTCTCCCTAACCTGGCATCAGGCAATGCTTCATTCTGGTTATTTCAAAAATGGCAACGTTAGGGGCCGGCACTGAAGCTGGCCTGAAGCGCCGGCATCCAATATGGGCACTGGTTCGAGACCGGGCTGCTCCATTTCAGATCCAGCTCTCTGCTATGGCCTGGGAAAGCAGTAGAAGATGGCCCAAGTCCTTGGGCCCCTGCACCTGCATGGGAGACCTGGAAGAAGCTCCTGGCTCCTGGCTTCCGATCGGCACAGCTCCAGCCATTGCAGCCAGTTGGGGAGTGAACCATCAGATGCAAGACCTCTCTCTCTCTCTCTCTCTGCCTCTCCTTCTCGCTCTGTGTAACTCTTTCTTTTTTTTTTTTTTTTTTTTTTTTTTTTTACAGGCAGAGTGGACAGTGAGAGAGAGAGAGAGACAGAGAGAAAGGTCTTCCATTGCCGTTGGTTCACCCTCCAATGGCCGCCGCGGCCGGCGCGCTGCGGCCGGCGCACCGCGCTGATCCGATGGCAGGAGCCAGGAGCCAGGTGGTTTTCCTGGTCTCCCATGGGGTGCAGGGCCCAAGCACCTGGGCCATCCTCCACTGCACTCCCTGGCCACAGCAGAGGGCTGGCCTGGAAGAGGGGCAACCGGGACAGAATCCGGCGCCCCGACCGGGACTAGAACCCGGTGTGCCGGCGCCGCTAGGCGGAGGATTAGCCTAGTGAGCCGCGGCGCCGGCAAACTCTTTCAAATAAATAAATAAATCTTTTTAAAAAAATAGCAACTTTAGATCACGACCCCAAACAAGAATATTTATTATTTCAGGCCCCAATCATTCAGACTCTGTACTTTGGGTTGCAGTTTAGGGTATATGAAATGGAACAGGGGTGAGATTTTTGGCAGAAATCAATTGCTCCAGAGAACCATGTCTCCCTGATGACAGACTTCCTCTCACCGGCCTAGGCCGCTGAGCACCCGTGGGAGAGCGCCCCTCCCTGGTGACAGTCTTAACGTTCTATGGAGGTAAGTGCCTGATCTTCCTTTTGCCCAGACAGAGGTCCTGGGCCCCTGTGCCCTGCAGCTGGCATCTCCAGGCAAGTGCTCCGGGCTCTGAAGGCAGAGCGAGGGCATGTGTACTCTGACAGTGGCACTCAAGGGACAGTCTCTTAGTTCACACTGGCAACCCTCCCCTCAACCCCTGAGTCCTCTTCCAGCTGTTCCTCCGGCCAGTGAGCCTCCAACATGTTCCCCTTGTCCTCTGGGTGAGCCAGAGACAGATTCTGTTGCTTGCGACCACAGGACCTTGACGAACGCATTAGCACGTCACAGGTCTTCCCTCCATGTCGGCTCGATCCATTCATAAAGCAAACCTGTTAAAGACCTGTGCTGAGCAGGACTCGGCTCATCTGCTTGGGGGAGCGAAGAATTCTTTACAGTAATCAAATGAAGTCGTTGGCGGAGCTGTCTCTCTTTCCCAGGGGCTTCCCTGTAGCCCCTATCAGCGAGGTTTTTTTGATGATGGATTTGTAAATTAAGAGAAGATTCTATTCTTTCCGGAAAAATGCTTCAAATCTGGATTATAATGAAAAAAAGACCAGAATTTTTTTTTTTTTTTTTTTTTGGACAGGCAGAGTTAGACAATGAGACAGAGAGAAAGGTCTTCCTTCTGTTGGTTCACCTCCCAAATGGCCACCATGGCCAGTGTGCTGTGCCGACCCAAAGCCAGGAGCCTGGTGTCCTCCTGGTCTCCCATGCAGGTGCAGGACCCAAGCACTTGGGCCATCCTCCACTGCCTTCCTGGGCCACAGCAGAGAGCTTGACTGGAAGAGGAGCAAACAGGACAGAACTGGTGCCCCGACCGGGACTAGAACCCGGATTGCCGGCGCCGTAGGTGGAGGATTAGCCTAGTGAGCCGCGGCGCTGGCCAAGACCAGAGTTTTTAACCGCCAGATGCAGACAATCTCACAATCAAGCCAGAGGCAAGAGATGGAACATTTTCAGATTTCACTTTCACTTGCTCTTTTAATGTTTGTTTATTTTCATTTACTTGAAAGGCAGAGAGAGAGAGGGAGGGGGAGAGAGAGAGAGAGAGAGAGATCCTCCACCTGCTGATTCACTCCTCAAATGCCCACAACAGCCAGGCCTGGGCCAGGACAACGCCAGAAGCCTGGAACTCCATCCAACTTTCCCACGGGGCTGGCCCAAAGGAAGGCAGCGACCCGGCTGTCAACTCACCTCTGCCAGGGACAAGCGCCTTCTGCAGGGCTTCCTTCAGGCCGCTGTGCCCGTGCAGGAGCCGGTGGCTGGGGGAGATGGCCACGTGGGATGCACCATAAATAGCCTCGGGGGAGGCCGTGTAGGCGGTCAGCTTTTCTCCTGTGGCTTGCCCATCAACCTGGCAGGGGGAAACAAGAGGCATTTTGTTCCTCGGTGCCCCCTCTGCCTGGGCTGCTCCCTGCCCACGTGCCCACCCCTTCCCTCCTTGTTCTGACCACAGCCCGGGGGTGTGGTGGCTGAGACGGCACGTAGCAGGGGCAGAGAAAGGACAGGCGGCTCCCCTTTCAGAACCCTGCAGGGGCCAGCACCAGGCATGTGGGCAGCCCCAGCCCGAAGGTGGTCACAGCACGCTCAGAACGGCGCCCTCCTGGTTTTCTGGCTCCCTTGTTCCTAGATCAGAAGAAGTACCTGTCAACGGCACCTCATTTTTGTTGCGAGAAAGGAGTTGTGTTTCCCTCAGGGACTTCAGGACAAAGCAGAAAAACAAAGGGCTGCACTGTTCTAAGCAAATGGCCACTGAGGTTATTAGTGATAGTCCATCCTGGGCTCAGAGCTGGAAGGAGCATACAGCAGGCACCCACTGAGTGCAGATTACGTGACAGACATGGAGGCCACAGAGAGGACAGGCATGACTTCCTTCTTACATTTATTCAAGCGTGATGACGGAGTGCCAACAATGAACTAAGTCTACAACGTGGCCTGGGTGCCGATTAGGTGTCACCCACGGAGCCGGGCCTGGGGCCCCAGGGGCACAACCACACAGTCTGTCCCCCGTAACGGAAAATGTTCTGGCATCCTCACAGTGAGCTACCCCGTCTCAGTTTCAAGTGGGTTCAGGAGTGGAGACCCAAACATTTTCCCAACCCAATGTCCACGAAGGGGGGAATGTGGAAGATGTCCGAGGCACAGGCGCCCACACCTCTGACCCTGGCTGAGAGGCAAAGGCCCTTGAGACGGGCACCAGACCCGGGCTAACCAAAGAGACAGCCCCGAAGGCACGCTGGAATGCAGTCCAGGGCCCTGGCCACCCCCTCAGCAGAGTGGCAGAGGAGGCGTCTGCGTGGGGTCTGCTGACCCACGGTTTTCCATGCGCTCTCCCCAGAGGGGGGCTTCCCTGGCTGGAGGCTGGATGAGCCGGGCTTCCTCTGCACGGGGCTGCACAGGGAATCATGAACTCAGGGGCTGAGCAGGCACCAGCTACGGCCATCAGGAGGGCGGGTCCCGAAGGCCGACCAGCCTCCTCTCTGGGCTGCTGCTGCTTTCTCTCCTCAAGGTTCTGACAGGGACTAAGGGGAGGGCGGGGTTCAGAGCTAAATGAACAGAGCACCAAAGCCTGGATCAGAGAAGAACCTGAAGGATGAAAAGAACTCCCAGGAAAGGACCGGCGACAGAAGCGCTCTCGTGTCAACACAAAGAGCAAAGCTCTGGTGGCATGTCCTGGAGGAAGCCACCTTAGCTGCACCTGTCAGCCATGTTTCCACAGCAGGCCACCGGTGTTGGGCCTCGTCCTAAACAGTTGAGGTCCATCAGCCTCTGAGATGATGACATGGTTCAGCTCTGCCCCTGGGCTTTTAATGGCTCTGTGACATCACACACACACACACACACCCCATCGAGAACACAGTCAAGCCCGTGGTCCTTCTGTGCGGTGAACAGTCCACACACACATTCTGCACAGAACTTCAGGGAGTTCAGGGCCCACCAGGACACGCCGCGTATCTGTGCTGTCCAGAATGGTAGCCGGTACACTACATGGCTAGGACTCACTTGAAAGTTTCTGCTGTGGGTATAGAAGACAGTGGACTTCACAGGGCCAGCGTTGTGGCTCAGGGGGTTAAGTCACAGTCTGTGACACAGGCATCCCATACAGGTGCTGGTTCAAGGCTCGGCTGCTCCATTTCCAATCCAGCTCCCTGATCATGCACCCAGGAAAGCAGTGGAAGATGGCCCAAGTGCTTGGGCCCCTGCACCCACATGGGAGACCCAGAGAAGGCTCCTGGCTCCTGGCTTCAGGCTGGCCCAGCCCTGGCCTTTGCAGTCATTTGGGGGAGTGAACTAGTGGATCGAAGTCCTTTCTAATTTTGCTTTTTCAAATAAATAAAAAATGACTCCTTAAACAATAAATATAGTAGATTTAGGACTGAACTATAACAAGATATCAACTATTTCTTTAATAAATCTTTTAAAAAATTGATCACATTTGTAAACAGTATTTTGGTTTAATCGGTCAAATAAAATGTCATCAAAATTAATTTCATGTCTTTCTTCCCACTTTAAAAAATGTGAGTTCTACAGAAATGACAACTACGTACGAGGCTTGTGGGATCTTTCTGTTGGACGGTGCTGTCGTGGAGTTCAAGGTGCCGAGTCAGAGTTGCCAAATGCAAAGGGGAACTGTGCGCGTGCACTGCTGCAGGCGCCTCGCTCGCTCACCTTTAACGTGAAGTCCAGGTGGCAGCCCACACAGTCTCCGATCCAGTGGGCTTGCATGCCCCTGATTCCATACCATTCGGGAAGGTCTGCCAAGGCGTCCTTCATGGCCTGAGGGAACGAAAGGACAGGGAAGCAGGTTAACGTAGGAAAAGTGGGGGCACCAAAGGAGGCAGCAGAGGCTGCCCTCCCCAGCTACACCGGCCAAGTCGTAGGTTGGGGACGGCCATGCTCGTGGTGACTCCACTCACCAGCTGGGCCCCACCGATTTCTCTCTGAGGGAGCCCAGGCTCCAAAGAGGAAGGAAATAAACAAGAAAGACCACAATTCCTATTCCTGGTGCTTGTGCTTAGTGCATTCTCTCCCACGGGCTGAGAACTGAAGAGAACCTCAAGCCTATGAATTTGGAAACTCTACAAGCCATTCATGGGTGTTCTACAGTTCAACTAGGTCACAAACACAACATTATAAACGGTATCTCTGCATTTAAAAACCAGAGATTAAGAAGAGGCACTTAGCCTAGGGACTATACAGTGGCCTCCACCGTCAGGGGTGCCTGGGTTGGATTCCTGGCTCTGGCTCCTGACTGTGGCTTTGCACTGATGCAGAGCCTGGGAGGCAGTGCCAACAGCTCAAGTACTTGGGTTCCTGCCACCCAGTGCGAGGCCTGGGCCGTGCTCTCAGCTCTTAGCTCTGGCCCTGGTTGTTGTGGGCCTTTAGAGAGTGAACCAGTGGATGGGAGTTCTCTCTCAAATAAATAAAAACCAGCATAAAAAAAATTTTAAAAAATACAAATAAGCATAAGGGAAACATAACATTAATCTGTGCAAACATTTGCTATTAAAATGAATACTGATGTTCATCTTTAGCCTAAATTCCTATAAAAAGGAGGTTTTCCTATGCATTATTCTCTATGTCCTCATGCACATATTGGCCCTTACTTGAAGACATCTTCCTTCAACAGATGAATGTAAAAGTAAACGCATATGTTCGTAATATGAAGAGTCCATCTCAAAAAAAACCTGTAATAGTATTACAGTTAATGCAGGCAGTAAAATGATGCATTGTTTGTGCAGCGGTCTGTAATTCATACAGTGACTTCACGCGCATCTGCTTTTACACGCTCCGCACGGCAGCACATTTTCAGATGAGCAAACTTAGGCTGAGAGGTGTGCTGGCCCCTGCAAGGTCGTGGGAGATGAGGAGCCAGGACGAAAACCCAGACTCACCAGCAGCACTCTGCCAGCCTCGCACACAGACTTACTCGACCGTGTGATTAAAAACACAAAACAGAACTGTGCATTTCCTACATCTGTCAACCTATACACACGGCTTGTTACGACTGTTCAACAAGCTACAGATTTATGTGATTACTTAACACCAAAATGAAACAAAAACTTACTGCCAAGTTTGGCACTGGGTGGGTCACGAGTCTTAATCCTGCAATGCTCCTGATCTGAATTCAGGTCAGCATGAGGAAATGTTGGCCTGTGATCTCTATGACAACTGCCAAGCAGGACCTGGCCCACAGCTTGCAACTGTGCCTTGTCCTGGCCAAAGGCGCATTAAATTCCCAGATCCCCAGCACCTAGCAAGGAGAGTGACAGCCCCTGTAGCACAGGTCCGCGTGCACTGCACACCATCAAAGCACCAGGCACCTATGCATACTGCGCCTCATTTAATCTTCCCAACAGCAGAAGTCAAGCAGTAGCGTCTCCACCTCCCAGATGAAGAAAGGAACCTCAGAAACGTTCCCTAAGTCAGCCCCAGGCATGGGTGGAACTGTGGAAGAGGACCGGAAGCAAGGTGTAGCCAAGTCCCTAAAGCATGTGCGGTCCTACACACCACCTGCAATCACTACTTTATTTTTTAATTTTTAAAGATTTATTTGAAATGCAGAGATACAGAGACAGAGGGAGAGACACAGACTGAGTGAGATTTTCCATCTGTTGGTTCACTCCCCAAATGGCCTAACAGCCACAGCTGGGCCGGTCCAAAGCCAGGAGCCAGGAGCTTCTAGTAGGATTCCCATGTGGGTGCAGGGATCCAAGCACTTGGGTCATCTTCTAATGCTTTCCCAGCACAACAGCAGGGAGCTGGATCAGAAGTGGAGCATCCAGGACTTGAACTGGCACCCACATGGGGCGTCAGAGTTGCAGGTGGCAGCTTTACCTGTTATGCCACAGCACCCACCCTGCAATTACTACTTTCTAAGAGCAGTACCTAAATTCCATCTTTCCCCTATCCATATTTCAGCTCATTTCAGCTTATCACTCTCTGACTCAGAGGTACTGATTAGAGATCAGACAGCTTCCATTCCCTTATTTATATTTTCCATTTTATTCCTGGGAGGAAGGCCCTGGTAGGCATAAGGCTGATGTTGTCATCAAAATCCTCTTTATGGATGAGCACACACAGGCCCAGGGATGTTTAGCAATCTGCCCAAGATCACAGCTAACTGGAGGCAGACCAGAAACGCAGGTCTCCTCGTTATTATTTAGCCCTCATTCAACTATAGAAACCCTTAACCTAATGCCTTTCTCCGCAGTGACACTGTCAACTTGATTGCTTCAGCTCCCTGGCACCTACAGGGGAGAACTCCAAGATGGGTGAGTGGCATGGCTTCACCGCCAATGACAGAAGCTTGAAAGGGGACAGACTTGCTACCGTGTCCTGCACCTTCCCCATCGAAGCCGCTGAGGGGAAGTAACACAGGCTCCGTACAGTGCTGGGTTACTGGGGGGAACCCGGAGGCACAGGGCCAACTGGCTTAAATACCACCCCAGAATCCAGAGGCTGGGGATGCCAACAGCAGCAAGGGCTTAACCAGAACACTTCTGGGGAAAGGTCTTGGCTGTGCCCACCTTCCCCCCTCATTCCTGCCTCTGGATAGGTCTGCAGCCTTTCCATAGGCCTGTGGGAAACCTGATCTTCTGGTGAATTCCTTTGGCTTAAGTCAACCAGTGTAACTTCATGCTGTGGTGCCATCTTATCTGTGGCACCAACTATGCCAGGGATGCCACCTTAGGCTCTGGTCCCCGTCACCACCTTGTACAGTAAGCTTTGGTCCTAAGCCCAAAGGCCCAACCACAAGTGTCAGCTCCACCCCCACCCTAATGGGATTTGCTGCTCCTACCTCCCTGCCCCCTGCAAAGGTATAACAGGACCTGCTTCCCACACACATGCTCGTTCGCTCGTTCTCTCTCTCTCTCTCTCACCCCCCTGTCAATAAACCCTTTCTCTTAACTTCTGTTTGGTGTGTTTTGTGGAGGCCTTACACCATCAATGGACTGTAGAAGTGTCAATATCTTGATATCTATATACTGTTTTATAGCAAAAGCATAAAAACTAGAATGCATCAATACAGTAATATGTGCACAAACAATCTGCTGATAAAGTCATACACTCTGGAGTATTTTCAATATTTTGGAGCAACTTAAATGTCGAGAGTGTAGTGGGTAAAGCCTCTGCCTGGGATGCCAGCATCCCATATGGGTGCCGGTTCCAGTCCTGGCTGCTTCACTTCTGTTCCAGTTCCTCTGCCACCCACACCAGAGGAAGCTCCTGGCTCTTGGCTTCGGCCTGGCCCAGCTCCAGCTGTTGTGACCAGCTAGAGAGTGAACCACTGATGGAAGATCTCTCTTTCTCTGTCTCGCCTTCTCTGTTAACTCTGAACTTCCAAATAAATCAATCAACCTTAAAAAAAAGCCTTTAAAATAAATGTCCATTACACACAGAACTAGAACTCGGTAAACTCTGTAGATAACCCACGGCTCTTCCTCTCCGGTGACCAATGAGATTCTACATAACTTGTAAGCAAACCCATTGTGTTTTCCACGATCTCACGCGTGGCTCCATGACTGGCTCCATCTCTCACTGCACCCTCCCCTGCCACAGGAGACCTGGAGCTGGCTGGGTCAATACTGGCGACCCCTGCATGACCACGCCACCGACAAGAGCCCTCCTGGGTTTTACTCTTTTTCTCCTAGATTGAATTGTCAAGGCTGGGAAAATTCCGAAGGAGGTGCTTTTCCTAAAACATTCAGCTGTCAATCAGGACAAAAGAGGGAACCTAGAAGTGGACTGTGAATGTTTCATATGCTAATTCTGAAAGATGCCTGCTGAAAACCTAACCACCACTGATACTGTTAAATTTTAAAAATCGGCCAAATGAAATCAACATCTTGAACAACCCAGCAAGCCCTTGACGGACCGGCTGTGAGACAAACACGGCACTCATGTGGGCTTCGATGAGCAGGGCCTAAGGGGCCACCTCGCCCAGCGGCAGCCTACACCCTGACACCATCCTAGGCTCTAGCCCCCACCGCCATTGCTGGAAGTCAGGTGACCACATGGCCCAACCACTGGTGTCAGCTCCACCCCCATCCTAAATGGGATTCGCTACTCCTACTTCCCTGCCCACCCCACAGCAAAGTTTTAAAAGGACCTCCCTCCGTCCCTCTCCCTCCCTCTCTCTTTCTCTCTCTTCCTCTTCATCTGCTGACCTCTGTCTCTCTCTCTTACACTCTCCTTCTCCCACTTCTCCTTCTTTGCCCATTCCCTCCAGTCTGTCGGGTTTCCCCCAATAAACTCTTTCCCTTACTCTGGTGTCTGGTGGCCTTACAGACGGTGCTACAACTGTTCACGCTAGGAGCTCCTTCTGGTGGGCTTGCGGCGGTGGAGACTCTGGGTTTCCCTTTGTTTTGGGGCCGCAGTTACAGGGACAGCGATGGTACTGCCGCATTTCCCGTCTTTACATTTGGCAGGCGCTGTTGGCAGTGCCCATCCTCCGCACCCTGGCCCGCCTCTATTTATAGAAATCCCACTGGCTCACAGACCCCAAACTGGAAGAAAGGGCAGGAATTTTACACTTGGGAAGTGTTGTGAGGGCTTGGTGCTTGGCGCACTGGTTAAAAATGCCGCTGAGGACGCCTGTCTCCTATGTCGTCGGACAGCTCAGGTTCAACTCCTGCTTCCTGCCAGTGCGCCGGTGAGAGGCAGCAGATAAGGGCTCAAGCACTTGGATCCCAGGAACCCACACAGGAAACCGAGAGTGAGTTCTGGGCTCTGATTTTGGCCCAGTCCAGTCTTGGCTGTTATGGGCATTTGGG